CCAATAACTGCCATTCGTAACTCCCACCACCACGTTTTCTTCATAACTGCTTGTCACTAATTTTCTCAATCGGGGGATGTAATCGCGACGGGCTCAAACTGTCTCAAACCGTGACTTTTAGATATCGTTAGGATTCTGGGCGATCCAGCAATTTAGGCGACAACTCCTTCGCTCTAGTCGTCCATAAGGCATTTTACTAGCTCAACATCTGGGCGTTCTGCAAGTTTGGGCGATAACGTTCATTTGTTTGTGGGCTGCTTACCCTTTGTTTGGACTTTCATCTTGGATTCTCAACTGGGCTTCGTTCTTTGGGCTATTTAATTTGGACTGCACTTTTAGTGTGTCAACACAAACCATCTCGAGACATTGTATTCTCGTATTCATAATATATGATCAATTATCATGACCATGACCACGACCACATCATTCACCTGAATGAATCCATTATGTCAATTCTCGAAAACTCAGACGAGAACACTGAACTCATTACTTCTTTTCTCCCAATCTTTCCTTCTGCTCGTTTTCGTCCTATATCCCCTCCGAGGATGCAAGTGCTCTTTGACATCTGGTTTCTCATCTTGATCTTTGCTTTCGATGCTCAAGTTCTCAAGAAGGTTAGCAGCAGCAGTGGCTTCATCACTATCTCCAGAGTTTTTTGTCAGAAATTGAGTATTTTCTTCAATCTTTTCTTTGAAGATTTGAATTATGCTATCTGTATAATATTTTTGTACAACATTTCTGACAATGTTGAATGTGGCAAAAAAAATATGATTAATCTATGTGTACATAGGTGTATACATAGAGGTTGACATAATGTGAGTGAGGTAGAACCCACGATACTGTAGCGTGGGTCCCACCCCACTCAGATTATATCATCTCCTATGTGTACATCTATGTACACATAGCACTTCCCAAAAAAAATATTGGTTGAAATGATGAATTGATTTTAAACTGTCAAATAATATCATGCCACGTGACATGTTGTCAATGATAATGTCCAAATTATTGTACACTGAGCATTGTTCACGTAAAATCTATTGGGATGTACAATATCCTCCAAAAATGATTACTGATGAAATATTTTAGTGAACAAAGGAACACAGATGGAAAGCCATTTTACTACTTGGTAAGGGAACCTTTCAAGCTTTGCAAAACAGGTGCCAAGTGCTTGGTGGCTAAGATTTTGGGAAAACAACAAGCTAGTCTATGAGCTCGAGGGACCTATCCCTCGCTCACGAGCTACTCAACATTCCCAAATCTTTTAAAGTATAAACTCCGCAAAGATATTGAAATGCTAATGGTTTTTTTTTTTTTTTGAATCTCAGAGATTTCATAGAAGGCGCTAAAAGCGGTTACACGGAGGAAAACCTCCAACACAGGACCAACATAGACAATAGACGTCGAAGGACAGCTGT